GGGGGGGGGGGGGGGGGGGGGGGGGGGGGGCGTGTGCACACAGACACATGCATGCGCACACACGAGCAGCTGCAGCCTGCACGTGGCCAGGAACTCATCCTGGCAACATGTAGAGCAGCGCCCTGCTGGTAAGTCTGTGGAGGAGGAGGGGCAGATCAAGGCCCCCACAGTAAGAGGGGTGTGGGGCAGGGGCTGGGTGAATGAGACCTGAGGCCAGGGCAGGTCATGGGATGGAGCCGCAGGCAGCTCGTCCAGGAGCGCCGGGAGTGTGGCTCCCCGCTGCTGCGTGCACCCCTGGATTTGTGTGCGGGGTGGAGGCGGGCTGCCTGCTGTGGGCTGGGGTTTTGCACTGTGCTGCCTTTGCCCCAGGAGCCACGCAATGCCATGTTGCGTTTTTCCTCTGCCAGGCAGGCAGGGGATGTGTGGCATGGCCAGTGCACGACTCCTGGGGCATCAGCTGTAGGCTGCAGATCCCCAGCTCGCAGCGGGCAGCCTGCCTCTACCCTGCGCACAGATATGGGGGGCACGTGCTCCCCCCACCAACCCCACCCAAACACACAGATGAGCTGTCCATGCCTCTGTTCCACACCCCACCCCAGCCTCCGAGCTCCATTCACCCAGCCTCTGCCCCGTCCCACTCCCTCCCTCACTGTAGAGGGCTCAATCTGTCCCACAATGCACCTTCCTCCCCCTCCCCCTCCCCCTCCACAGACTTACCTGCTGGGCGCTGTGTGTCTGTCTCTCTGTCTTCCCTCACTCCCAAACCGCAGCCCTGCTGCTGCCCTTCACTCCTGACCCACAGTACCCCACACCCTGTCAACATGTGGGGACCCCCGCCTCCCTGGGCTCCAAATTGCCCCCCCCACACACACACAGCCCAATTCCAACCCCCAACCATGCAAAGTCCTTGCATAATTTTGAGGGGTTTTGTGCATAATTTGAGTTTTTAGCTGTGCAATTGAAATAGCGATTCATTGCAACTGTGTTTCTTTAATCGTGATCAGATTTTTTTTTTTAATCATTTGACAGCCTTAATAAAAATACAACAGATGTGACTTTCAGTATTGGCCTAATTTTCACCTCAGTGAAGCTGGTGGGAATTTATTTCCAGAAGCCCTTTAGCATTCATCCATTTTACTGTTGTTGAAGTCCCACCTTAATTTCTGACAGCACCAATGAGTTGCCATACTTGTCTGGGGTTGATATAACCTAGAAAAGCTGTAGTCCAAATGTCATAAAATAGCCACTGTGTGATTTTGATAAATAGGCTCTATAACACCTGTTTTCATAGTTCTGACTGAAATAAAATGATAGTACCCTGCAATCATAACTCTCACCTCTGAAATTATGTCAGATCATCCTAACTTTTATTTTAAAAGTCCTTCAGTTTATATTCTTTTTTCCCTTGCTGCTGCTAGTTTTCTTAAGTAACAGTTACCACTTTGATGGGGACCCACTTGGTAAGAAAGCAGGTGAGCGGCTCTGTCTCTCAAGCAGCAACCAGTGTTATTCAGTAGATGTACTGATTGAGGCTGCTCTTTTAAGATTGTCACCAAAACCAGCCACGTTCAGATACAGGACTGAAGTATACACTTTACTTCCAGCTAGTAGTATAACTTTCTGCTGCTGTAAATATTGTTCATCTTTTTAAAATTTGCGTGTTGTCTTGTACAGCAATCTGGTTTAAAACACGAGTGTCGCATTTTGTTTGCATTGTGCAGGTTGCTAGTAATATAGCAGCTCTTACAAGAGCTCTCTAAGCATATTTTTCTTAACCTTTGTTTTTGCACGTACTCTCCTTTAATGCTTTTTTGGTATTGATTACAACGAATAAATAGTAAGACACTTTCAATTTCGTTTTCAACTCTTGCAGTACATAAGAAGCTGTATAATGCTTGGCCGCATGCCCAATCTGATGCTGATGGCCAAAGAAAGCCTTTATACCCAGCTGCCATTGGATACCTTTACAATGCCATCTTATTCCAGGCGCATTTCTACAGCTACCCCATATATGAATGGAGAAGCTTCAGCCAAATCCCTTTGGTCTTTAAACAGTGCTCTGAGAATAAGAATTCTCTGTGCAACATATGTAAATGTAAATATACGAGACATTGACAAGGTAAGGCAAATGCTAAATGCAAAGTAGTAGTCCACTCATAAATCCTTGGTGATGCTGTTCACTATACAAAGTAAAATGTATTCCAAGTGAGTTATTCCAGTAAATGTTTGTTCTGTTTCTGTTCTTCATGTGATTTCCCTGTACAACAGGCCTGAAATCTAAATGAGACCTTTTGAATTTTAGAGATTCTCCTTATGGTAGAATCAAACTATAATTTGCAATGAAACTTGTTACTTTACCAGTCACACTTTTTTGTTGCACTCTTGCCAGTTGAGTGTTTTCTGCATCACTACAATCGTTTTAAAAATTAAGTTACTTTTAAAAATGTAAAGAATAAGAATAGCGGCCACTCTGGATTCAGGAGTAAGACAAACTAAGATGGTCTAAGTATTATATTTTACAGAGTATTTAGAGGAAGTCTGTATTAAAAATTTCAACTATTTCTAGGAATTCAAAATGTGCTTTGAGTCCCATTTTTAAAGTAGTTTTTAGTGCATCTCTTTATATACAAAATGGCCTGGTTTTTTGATTTGTTCTAAAGTACTAATCCAGAAGAACCTGCTTTGTTATAGTCATGCTCATATGTGACTATAAGCAAATAACATTAAATTTATTATAATAAAATGTTATAACAAAGTAACATAATCAAAATGTACTTTTGTTCCTTTGAGGTGTAGCTAAGCATTTATGGGTGTGTGTAGATGAAACGGGGGCTCTAAATTGAAGCGGTGGGTTTTTCAACCCACCGCTTCAATTTAGGGCAAAGTTAAACCCTCGTGTCATGCACACACCCTGCACTTACCTACTTCTCCGGCGGTGGGGAAGGGAGGGCGAGCTGCCAGTGGGTGGAGCAGTCCCTGGGCTGCAGGGGGAGCTGGTGCTTCCCTCCATGGCAGCAGTGGCTTCTTTCCCCCCTCCCCCACCCCCCAGGCAGCACCCCCCTGCAGGCACCTGGCTCAGGCAATCCCAAGGGGCACCACAGCTGCAGAGGGAAGCACCAGGCCCCCACACAGCTCAGGTAGGCAGGCAGGCTCCATTGGTGCGAAAGATCAGGCTCACTGCTTTTCTTGGGCAGAGCCTGCCTTCCCGGGCTGCTGCCAGGCTGCCTGCAGGGCTTCCTACGGAGCTTCACAGAGCCTGGTGCTTCGCTCTGCGGTTGTAGGGGCAGCAAACTAAAATTCCTCAGAGAAGTTTTAG